TGTATATATGTGGGTATATATACCTGTATATATATCCACATTTTTTAATAATTCATCTGTTGATGAGCACCTGGGATGATGTCATATGTTAGCCTTCAGAAATGGTTCCAGTATAAATGCTTTCATATACTGATTTCATTTTGTCTGATTGTGTACCCAGATATGGTATATTGATTCATATGGTAGACCTATTTTCAGTGTTTTGAGGACTTCCATGCTATTACCATGAATGCTTGCACTAATTTACATTCTTGCAATGAGAGTTCAGTTGTCTCATCCTAGTAGCATTCATTTTGAAAGCAGCCATTCTAATAGACATGAAACGACACCACATTTCAACAGTCATTTCATTTCCCTAATGGCTAATGCCTTGGAGAATTTTTTCCACATATTTATTGGCTATTTGATTCTTACTTTGAGAAATATCTATTCAGATTATGTATTCACCATTTAATTAGATTACTTCATAGTTTTGCTGTTGAATTGTTGTGTTCCTTATATATTCTTGATAGGAATATTTTATCAGAACATACTTATCAAATATTTTATCCCCTCCTTTAAGTTGTCTCTTTGTTGATTGCTTCCTTTGATAAGCAGAACTTTTGGGTTTAAATTAGTGACATTTGTCATTTTTTTTTTTGTTTTTGCTTTTGTGTTCTCCATTTTGATGGTACTAGCCAGAAAATCCTTGCCTGTACCAGTATCTTGAAGTGTTCTTCCAAAGCTTTGATTCTAGTGTCTCATAGAATGTTAGGCATCTATTCTACTTTGAGGTAATTTTGGACAGGTGAAGGTAGGTGTCCAATTTTGGTTTCCTTCAAATGGATAACCAGTCTTCCCAGTACCATTAGTTAAGCGTTCCTTTAATAGATATTTTAGCATCTTTCTCAAGATTAGTGATCTATGGACAAGTGCATTTCCTTTCATGACTGTTTTATGTTTTGTTTTCATGTGTGTCTGTTTGCATGCTATTACCAGACTTTTCCAGTCTCCTAGATATACAGTATTACTTTAAATCAGGAATTGTGATGCCTCAAGCTCTAGTCTTCTGCTCAAGATCTGTGTTGAAAAAAATATTTGGTTGTTAATTTTTATTTTATGTGTACAGCTATTTTGCCTGCATGTATATCTGTGCATCACCATGTATACATTGCCAGTAGAAGCAAGAATCAGGTCTTATTTAATGAAAGGCTCTCCTGGAACTAGAGTAATACACAGTTATTAGCCATCATGTGGATGCTGGGAATCGAATCCAGGGCCTCTGGAATAGCAGCCACTGCTCTTAAGCACTGAGCCATCTCTTAAGTCTCTTGATTAAGATTATTTTTTGGCTATTTGGAGACCTTTGTAATTCCATATGAATTTCAGATTATTTTAATAGTTTCTGTGAAACTTAATATTGTATAAGGCTCATTTTGAGTAGGATGGGCACTAACATCATTATTTCTACATTAACATGGAAGGACTTTTCTCATTTTTTATGTGTACTCTTCAGTTACTTTCATCAGCAATTTGTAATTTTCATTGTAAAGATCTTTTATTTACATGATTACATGCAAGCTATTTGGATGTTTGTTGTTTAGCTTTGCTTTCATGATTTCTTTCTCCACAGTCTCATCACTAAAATATTAAAATGCTAACATATAAATCCATACTTTTTGTTGATTATCTGGATTATCTGTCAATGGAAGTGATATGTTGTACATCTTACTTTGTAGTGGAGCTGCTTCTTAATATTTGTTCTGTCAAAGATGCTTATTGAAGATTTGTAACTCTTTTGCTTTTCATATGATCAGTTTTAAATCAATAAAAGTTACTATCTGCATGTAAACTGTGAACACATTTTTGGGGGCTGGAGTTATTGGCTCAGAGGTTAAGAGCACTTTCTGCTCTTCTAAAGGACTTGGTTTCATTTCCAAGCACCTCCACCTCCTCAACCTACAGCTGCCTGTGATTGCATTTTGGGGGATTCAAGTCCTTATTCTGGTCACCATGAACACATGTCTGCATGTGGTGTATATACAGACAAGCAGACACACAGACACACATGGGCAGAGAAATGGCTGAGCAGGTAAAGCACTGGTGTCACAAGTTCAACGATCTCTTTCTTTTACTTGTTTTCCTATTGCTCTTTCTGGTGGATTTTGTTTATTTGTTTGTTTTTGTAGATTATTATGTAGCACAAACTAGCCTTGACATCACTGTGTAGCTGAGGATAACCTCAAAATCTCCCTTCCTTCCCACGCTGAGTGCTGAGATCATAGGCATGCTCCTAGTGTCTCCCTTCTTCATTTCTTTCTACATACTGGCTGTTTCTGCCTCCCCTCTTTTTTTACTTGATGTGTCTAGCTATGCTTTATCAATTTTATTGATTTTCCCAAAGACCTAGGTGCTGATACTATTATTGTTTTTCCTGTTGGTCTCGCCATTCAGAACTCAATGGTCTTCCCAGTCTCTGTGAGGTCTCCTATTATAGCAGGGTTTCACTTTAGTAACCCAGCAGATTCGAGGAACCTCTGGTGCAAATGTCTTGGGCTCTACCCTGCATAGGTCACTCTTTTCTGGTGGAAAGCCTGAGTATTTGGCTACCTTGGAAGCTCCAGACACTGGTTTCAATCACAATAGTGAAATGAATGAATTCTACTTGGAAGACCACACCCATACTTTAATTTGGAAATGCCTGCAGACAAGTCAGACTGATTCTAGGACTGACTTATCTTCTTTAATCTCTTTTTACAATCATTATCATCCTCTGCCCACTTCCAAAAATAACCCCACT